GTAGATGGAATAGAAAACTAAAAGGTTGATATACAGCTCTTCCTCACTGACTGATTTTGCAGGCAGGTCACAATTTTTGCTGCTTTCTCAACAGCAGCAAATGCAAAATCGTCTCAGGTCCTCAGGGAGTTGTGTCTGTCCCCCATGAGAGTCTCTGCCCCTGACTGCAGGCTCAGTTTCTGCACAGGCGCTGCAGGCACCAGCTCCACGTGGTGCCCCTGTGCCAGCCAGGCCCTGTGATCTTCTGAAGTGTTGCTCTCCCGAGCCTTTTCTTTCACCACTGCAGAGGAGGACTGATCTCCTCTTCCAACACCAGGGGTCCAACTGATCACGTTTGTAAAGTACATAATATATAACAGACAACTCACAAAGACAGGAGAAAAAGAACCGATACACACGCACACACACAGAGCCACACACCCATTACAATCATCCAGAATTACTCAGATTGGTAGTTGATAGTTTCACACAAGTTCCCAAAAGTGCTGCCTAAATCTCTCAGGCCAGCAGTTTAAAAGAAAGCATTATGTGCTTGCTAAAAAAGATCTTTCTTGCAAGCCAACATGAGCATAAATTCACTGCAATCATAGCCACCTTTTGAAAAGCTGTGAAAGTCAAGTCACCTCTTTCTCCTTATACAGCGGATAAAAAGCTTAATTTTAATGCACGCAGTGTTGAGATTCACCAGATAGTGGTATTACCTGTGGAGAAAATAGCATTAGTTCCCCATCTGCCTGAGAAGATCAGAGAAAACTCTGATAGTCCGTGTTAGTGAATTCACCTTGATGCTTCTGGTGCATATGTGATTACTTTGAAGCTCCATTTGTGTTTATTTGCCTACCTTTCAGAGACAAAAACCTAAAGTACCTTCCATCCTAATGTAAAATACTATATAGATATAGCAGTGCTGCACCTGTAAAAAGACTGGTGTGCAATCAGTCTCTTGTAAAGGATTTCTCAACCCATTAGGATGCTACTTGACATTACTATTTTATTATGAGAAACAGCTCTTTCTGGCTTCTGCTTTCTATTCATTTCAAAGGAAGTGATACTAGTGATAGATCAATGGGACCTAGGAGAGAAATCTCCTATGGTTTTTGTCTTCTTCTATGCTTCATTTATATCATATTTTCTTAAACATTTCTTTTTCACTAAATCCTATGGGCTTCATTCCTAGCCTTTTCCATAGTCAGCATGCTAAAATCATCTGCAGCGAAACAGCTAACACCGATATTGCTCTTTAAAGATAACAACCGAATGAACTAGTAGCAGTGTGCAGAAGAACAATACTGCCCCAATTCATGAGCAGTTAATATTTGAAAGGCTGTCGTGACTTGAAGCTTAGAGATTTTATACTGCTCTGAGTATGCACAGAGCTGCTTAGATGTTTGACACCACTGGTACATGTGCTATAGCTGGTGCAAAACGATTGAAATATTATACATGGAAATACAGTTGCTAGATTGGAGGGGTTTTTTCTTTAAAAAAAAAAAAAAGCAAATAGCATCAGCAAGGAAACCTACAGGGTGTAAAGGATCTGTGAGAGGAGTCTAAGATTGTGGTGCAGTATAGAAAAAAAAATGTGAACAGTTTGAGAGCCATGACCTCTCAATGGGCACTGGGATAAGATGCAACTAAACTGCAGCTCTAATAAAGGGACAGAACTTCCAGACAGATATTTCAAAGTGGTTTGGTTTTTTTTTCTTTAAAAACTCCATAACTTTTTATAAGAAAAGCAGATACTATTAATGATACTGTCACGTCTAGATAACCAATCTGTCTGTCAATAAATATTTGAAAGGAAGACATTCAGCCAGCTATGAATGACAGTTAATAAGGTAGTTGATGTTATTAACAGGCAGAACAAAACTTTCCATACGAGAGGATGGATACTGAAAGTTTATTAATTTTCATGTATTGGACACATTTTAGAAAATCTGTTTTGGTTTGGATAAGAGATTGGTTCTTGGTTCATAGCAAAACAAAATACTGCTTTTGTGCTGAAACTGCTGGCAAATCTTCTAGTTCCGAGATTAATTTTCTGCAATAGGAGCAGCAGGCCGGGGCTGCCCCACCAGGGCAGGTGAGCCGGGGGCTGAGGGGGGAGAGCGGGGCAGGCAGGGAGCAGCCACGCAAGGCAGGCAGGGCAGGGACGGTGGCAGTGACTGTGGGCAGCCACGTCCCAGGGAAAATCCATAGGGAGAGCATGGGACAAGGTTGACTCGGGAGGGTGAGTCAGAGGGTGAGGATTAGCAGGGTGCATGGCTGGGCACAGATGTACCTATGGCATAGCCTGGGCGAGTGTCAGGGACACGGACTTGAGCTCACATGCAGGTCCTGCAGAAGGTGGGGTGGCCCCAACCAGGCTTCTTGCTGCTCTTTCTCACACACAGGTCTGATCCAAGGCTATGCAGCTGCACCATGCCCAACATGGCCTTGAACACAGGCAGCCAGATCTCTGGCACAGGGAGAGGGAAAATGCTTGCAGAGCCGGCTGCTGCCCAGCAACAGGCCGAGGTATTTTCATGTAGGCTGTTGAGTGACCCGATGACAATTTTGTCTACTGGTACCAAATCCAAAGAGTGAAATTGTCACATACATTTCAGTTGTTCTTGGCCATTTGCTCATTCGATTGTTCACTTGCATTTGCTTGCCTGCAGCCCTTTGCAACACACCATGGTAGAGTGATATCTATTTTAACAACCCTTGTGAAGGAGATCTCCAGTGGGAATTGAGAATTCAGAAACTCCCATGCTGTGTTTGCTTTTTATAGAAGCTGATAGGTTACCAGAATTGTGGACCAGACTGCATGAGATTTCTCAATCAGCAGGTCAAAAAAAAAAAATAATGTTAAAATCAGGATTTATTAAACATTAAGATCAAATTGCAATAAACAAAATAAATAATTTTCATAACATGCCTCACCTGGATACATTGAAAATTATTTTGAAGGTTCTTTGCTTTTCTTTTTTAGAGAAAGAAAACAAAAATCCCTTATATCTTTCAGAAGTCGTGGGTTCCCTGTGGGCCCTGTACATCTTCTTCATGTCTTCTCTGTATTAGATTTTTCTTTAGTTTATTGGGTCCTTTCTTTTCAAGTGTCAGTTGTTTAAGCATAACTCATTTCAAATCAGCTCTTGAAATAAGCTTCCCAGGAGTCAGAGCTACCAGGGTCCTCCAACTTTTCTGCAGTCTGCTGGACAGACTACTCTTAATCTAAGATTTGAAATAAGTCTGAATGACAGTGAAAGAAGAATCTTGACATCTAAGAATTTCATTCTAAATTAGGATTAAACTAAATTCCAAAACGCCAAGTTCAACAACAAAACCAAACTCTCACTTTCTAATATGACTCCTGTGTTGCAGAAGTGACCTGACAGGCTACGATTCCCATTGTTAATGCGTGATTTCTCTCATCTCTCTTTTATGATTTAAGATAATGATTTCACTACATCATTTAAACATTTCCATTAATATTTTATATCCAACATCTGCAGCAAAAGACCAAAGGGTAAACTGTCATATCCACGATGCAGTGTGCCTGCATCGCTCCTCTCTGATACCACAGGAAACCACGATCGAGATTATGACATGCTGGCTTTCTGCATTTGAGCAGGTCGACAAACACTACTGCAGCCTTCGAATGCAGACTTTCATTTTTCCTCTGCTTTGAATTCAAATTGTATTTCAAATAAACTGTGAGAACAAAGCCTGGTTCAGGCAAGATATTAAGATCAGAATTCTCTTCTTTTTAAATTACTTTGTCACTCACTTCAAACTTACGCTCAAAGCATTATGTTTCTGTCACGCTTGCCTTGTTTCTCAGAAAGTAGGAATGTACATAAGCAGGCAGGAATGGGAGACTGGCTTTCACCATCCGCAGTGCCACTCTTGCACAATTGGGAGATCCCGTGCAAAGGTTTCTAAACGTCTAAGGCTTCTTAACAGTTTACCAGTTCGGTGGATTATCAGGTTAGCAATAGGTACACTTCCATAGAAAGACGATATGCATATAATACTGTTGAAAACTGAGGCTGTTTCACAATTTATTTTTTTTACATTGTTCTACTTCTGCCACTTTTGCAAATTACTTTAAAATTCATAAAACCAGTATGGCATAACAAGCAGCTAGCTAGTATGGCTAGCTTGAAAATCTTCACTTGTGTCACTGAGAGGCAATTGTGAAAGAGAAATTGCAGCTCTTTAGTTCTCAGTAGCTTAACAAAATTCAGAAAAAAAAGATGCCAGTGGTATTTCTTAGTTTGTTATGAAAACAAGATTTATATGATTATGCTTTCTGGGCCTGTGTTGCTATATGAATGTGGGTGGTGTGCTTCTGTGTGTGTCATTCTGTCAATTCAATTCCAATAATATTTGGTTCGATTGTCCAATCTCAAGCAACTTTACAGACAGAGAGCAATCTAAAATATATTAAATTCCCAAGAGTCCCACGAAAAATGTGACCAGAAAGAGACTTTTTTAAGCCTCCCCCGGGGGTAGAAAAATATAGTGTGGCTTCAACCATTATAAAATATCAGATAACCTACTAGGAGAGATAAATTAGGAATAATATAACCAAGGCAATATCTTTTATTTGCAGCTTGATACCAAAAGATCCATTCCTCAGTTTAATTTATTCCCTTTCTATGAAATCTTAGGTGCAAATCTGACATTTTTGTGCAGTCAGCATATTAATAATGTCTCTTTCTCACTCTTTTGCGTTCCCTCACGGATTCTCTGATGTCTAGTAAGAGTAGAAATACTCCAGACTTAGTATACTCTGGTTTAAAAGGCAAGCAGACATAAGAAAAAGATAATTGAAAACTAAGTTTTATTAGTGCTTTTGCTCACAAAATTGTTTCATGTTGTACTAATCATTAAAAGAATGTTGATCAGAGAATACGATAACTCTGACCCAAAGAAAATAATATAAATAATTGCTGTTCTGAAAGATGTTTAATGAATGCTATCAGTAATTCTTACATATTCCTGTTTTTCAGATGAAGCAGATCGGTCACGACGGCTACAACCCCACCTCTGTAGCTGAATGGCTGGATTCCATTGAACTGGGTGACTATACCAAATCCTTTCTAATTAATGGCTATACATCGATGGACCTTGTGAAAAAAATCTGGGAGATTGAATTAATTAATGTAAGTTGATCGATTTATAGCAGTAGTTCCTCCTAAATACATTCTAGTACTTGCCCTTGCATATTGAAGCAATTTGCACAATTGCTACATATTGTAGCAATTATACTACATATTGTAGTGCAATTTGCACAAGAGCAAATTGCACTACAAATACTGACATCAAGTACTGCTAATGATTACAGCTCTCATGCCTATACCTGGGTTGACTGTCCCCTTTGCTTCCATTTGCTTTCCCATTATCTTTAGCATGGTATTCAATCAGCATGATTGTGTCACCCATTCAGGATGCTGAATGACATTTAAAAATATATTTTGGTAGCTGATAGCTACAAAGCATAAGCCTTTGCTTTGAAAGTGCCTAACAACAATACTTCTTATAAAGATACTTACAGTTTACTTTTCCACATGCTCTATCTAAATTAAACAGAAAATAAGGAAACCTTAAATACAGTTAATAAGTTTAAGTAGTTTCTCTAATTATCACTTTTGCTTGCAACTTTATTTACATGAGTCAGTTAAATTAGATGCCCACATTTGGGCAACCATAAACTTTAATGTGGGCTGCACTGCAGAATTATTTGGAATGAGATTAATTTTGTGCTATCACAGTGAAGACATTGACAGTACAGCTTTGCCAATGGAATTTTCATGTAAGTTATGTGTCTGAAACAGAGTTGTCTCCTTTTATAAAAGATAGATGATTATAGCTTTGGATCTGCTGTGGCTTTTGAGATCAACGGTATTGTCAGTTTACCTGAACTTTAGGGCAATCCCTGTATAAAGAAAAGCCCAATGTCACATTTTATTGGCTCTTCATGGATGAAAGGTTGTGCTCTTCCTTCCCATAGAGGAGATACTGCACCTCTGCCTCTAATCAGTGCTTAACTTCCAGAACAGCCAAGTGCTGCCAGCAACCATAGGCAATCAAACATAAGATAGAGCAGCTGATACAGCTTTATATCAGGAAGCAGTCCCCAGTGTGTCCCAGGCTGGAGAAATGGAGAACATAATGATTATGCAAAGCCATGTTGCAACACAGTACCTGGTGCAGGAAGCATAAGCAGGTATAGCTCAAGACTGGCATTTAAAGAAAAGAAAAAAAAAAAAGGAGGTATTTCATATTAACTGAAAGACAAAACCATTGCGTGTTAGAATTTATTTTCTTACTGTCACATTACAGTTAATGTTAACTAGCACAAAAATGTAGAGTAAGAGTAAGGGCCAAACTCTGGCTTACATGTTATGTCTGTTGCATTCAATGTATGTTGTAGATGTATAATCAAAGTCAGGATATGATTGATGCTATTATGGGTGTCTGCTCCTAAGCTATTTTTAACTGTGAGTCTTTTTTCTGTAAGTGGCTGGAATTTTAATAAGAACTGGGGACCCTTTGCTCCAGAAGCCAATATAGATTAATCAGAACTGAGTTGAAAAAAAGTGGAAATCTGCTCACATTGTCTTCTCTTACTTAATTTTGCATCCCAAACATTTTGCTATAATCAATTCGGAAACAAATTACCCTTTAGCTCCCCCAAGTGGATCATTAAAACCTCATTAAAGGCTTATGGTTTGATTCCAAATTTGCTTAAACTGATGAAAAGGGAAGTACCTGCGCTGAAGTTAATAGGAATACGCTTCCGTAAAATTTGTATAAACCACACCAGTATATATCTCTCTAACTTTACAGCTGAACATCATGTTCTTGTTTAAGGCCTGTACTTCTTGGGAAAACACTCCCTTTTGCCAAGAGTTGCAAGAAAAAGCTGTTAAACAGTTGTTTAAATATTTGTATAGATATAGATACCTATACAGATAAATATTTCACCCACTTGATGTATTACTGGATTATATTGTTCAAGAGCATAGTAAATAAAACAGTTCTATATTTTCAGAACTTCTATTTTAGTCTAGTCAGTATATATTTAATTCCCATCAACCGGTAGTAGCTAACTGTAATGAAATATTGTTCACTAAGAAAATCTGTAGCTTAGAATAGTATTTACTGTTATTTTTCTGTTTCAGTTGAGGGGAATCTTTCAGAAATGGACAAGAAATTGGTTTGAAGCCATTGTGCACTCTGGCAGAACAAGATACTTATCTCTGACCAGCAGGTCTGCTGTCTCAAATTGATTTTGGAGGTTTCCCTTCCCATTCAGGCAATGGCAAACAAGAGCTTATTGCAGCAAGTTTATCATAAAGGAATGCACAAAGGTCAAAGCCACTAACTCTGGAATAGGGCTCCTGAGTAAGTCAGAATCCAGGCACTTGAAAAATAAGAGAAAAACCAGACTGAACATCTTGAAAAGAATTCAGAGTACCCTTGGTTTGGTGGTTCTTGATGCTTAAGTTGTAGATGGAACAAGAAGTTTCATTTGCACTTACGCCACATATGCAGTAAAAATGTATGAAGGGCTACAGATATGCTAACTTTCTCATTTTAGCCATCAGTTTAAACAGTTGCAGCCACTAAATATGACAAAAAAAAAACATTCCGGCTTTGGTGGAAGGAATCCCTTAGTTCATGTTTGGTGCTTCTTTCCATTAAGCCATTGGGAAGTCATCCCTGGCTTCTGGAGGGGTAGAAAGAGATTTGAAGGTAGAGGTAATATCTTCTATTAGGTAAACTAGCATTACTGAAAGGACAGGAGAGAGAAGGGGACATTTAATTTTTCAGAAGCCCTTCTTTACATCTAAAAAAATGAAAATTCTTTATTATCTTCTTCCTATACTTTCTGTGATCATCAACTCACATGCCTGTGGATGAAGTTCCTGAAGTTTTACATTTTTTTTTCCTAGATCTAAACTAGTAATAAGGTCATCCTTTATCATATGCATCTCAGGACACCACTGTGAGTTTTACTTATCACATGCCTCTGAACTTCCATGTGTGATGCTGACCAAGATACTTTTCTTCTACTTTGGGGCATAAATCTATTCAATTAAGTTATTAAAGCATATTCTGAAAGTCTCCCTGCAGCTGAATGAAGTTAGCCTCCCTAAATTCCCTTTATAAACTATAAAGGATGGCAAAAGAAAGGACCATACAGAAGATGATTTGGGGTGGTTAAATTATGGTTAATTATCTGGATTGCTTCCTAGAGAGGTTTGTCTCTCCCTACTGACATACAGAGATGCTAAGATTAGCTTTAGTATGAATGTCGATCTGCTTGAGGGTAGAAAGGCTCTACAGAGGGATCTGGACAGGCTGGATCGATGGGCCAAGGCCAACTGTATGAGGTTCAACAAGGCCAAGTGCGGGTCCTGCACTTGGGTCACAACAACCCCATGGAACACTGCAGGCTTGGGGATGAGTGGCTGGAAAGCTGCCTGGCAGAAAAGGACCTGGGGGGGTTGGTCGACAGCTGGCTGAATGTGAGCCAGCAGTGCGCCCAGGTGGCCAAGAGGGCCAACGGCATCCTGGTTTGCATCAGGAATAGTGTGGCCAGCAGTAGGGAAGTGATTGTTTCACTGTCTTCAGCACTGGTGAGGCCACACCTTGAATACTGTGTTTCAGTTTTGGGCCCCTCACTACAAGAAAGACATTGAGGGGCTGGAGTGTGTCCAAAGAAGAGCAAAGAAGCTGGTGAAGGGTCTGGAGCACAAATTCTATGAGGAGTGGCTGAGGGAACTGGGGTTTTTTAGTCTGGAGAAAAGGAGAGAAAGTTTATCACCCTCTACAACTCCCTGAAAGGAGGTTGTAGCCAGGTGGGTGTCAGTCTCTTTTCCCAAGTAACAAGCAATAGGAAGAGAGGAAACAGCCTCAAATTATGCCAGGGGAGGTTTAGATTGGATATTAGGAAAGATTTCTTCACTGAAAGGGTTATCAAGCATTGGAGCAGGCTGCCCAGAGAAGTGGTTGACTAATCATACCTGGAGGTAGGATGATGAAGAAGATGTGTAGATGTGGCACTTAGGGACACAGTTTAGGGGTCGATTTGGCAGTGTTAGGTTTACAGTTGGACTCAATGATCTAAAAGGTCTTTTCCAACCTAAATGATTCAGTGATTCTATGGTTAAAGTTAATCTTTGTGAGTTACTCCTTACTCCCATGGGACATTGGATTGATCAGAACTTTGAATCTTATCTTCCTAAAAAGAACAGTTCTTACTCTATTTCCAACACCTTTTTACCATCCTTGGAAGTTACCATCTAGGCAAGCACATTTAAAAAAAACTGTGAGGAGAACGCCAAGCATATGAGAGAGGGAAAAGGTTTGAGACACTTGTGGTAAAGGCCATCTTCCCTCAGCTTCTCTGCTCCTCCAGCTACCTCACTGGCATTAAGGAACAAATTTAATATGCAGCTTCCTGCAATTTATTGCAAATTATTCCAGCAAGGTAATGTCTGCTCTAACTTATGTGCTAGTTTCTTTCAGACTTTTATGTATACTTATGTATAAATATATATAGTGAGTGTGTTTCTTCAAGCACAATCAAGCAGCAATTACTTAAAACATTTGAATCAGAAGAGTCATTTTAAAAGTTATTTGTGTTTTTTGTGAGCTCCCACCAGCATTCGCGTCTTTTTTCAACAAGCCAGACTTTGAAATTTAGATTCTGTTTCACTAATTCATTTGTCATTTAGATCAAGAACTTTCCAAGATTAATTTGCTTCATTATTTTCCCAGGTATGTGCTTCCTGGGAAGCATTATTCTAATTTCCTTATCCTGGGATTGTAAGTATTCAGAATGTCTTGTCCCAGCATTGAGTTTCCCGACACTTCTGGTTTTGTCTCCCAGGTTTCTTGGCTCATTAGAGAGGTCAGATTCTGTACCCGGATTCAGATATCATTTATTCAATGCTGTAGCTACATGGAACTTTTCTGAAATACATATAATCTGCTGAAGAAAAGTCCACTGTGTTCTGAAATCCCCTAACCCATCTGAAGTGTGCACCTGTGCTTTAAAGTATAAATGCTCTTCTACATGACTAATCATATTATTCTTGTCTGTTATTTTGGATTACTTACGTAACCCTCCCCCTCGGGGACTCACTCCCTT